AGCAGCTATTTTCTTTTCCCTGAACTAGTTGTGATTTTCCTTTTTGGGGAAACTACAGAGCAGCTATTTTCTTTTCCCTGAACTAGTGTAACTAGATTAGCTTGCCTTTCAACTGTTTAACATTAATTTATTAAACCATTTTTACCAACTTCCAATAAAGGTACATACTATATTATAAGTGACAAACTTAATGTGTTTAGCCCTAATATTTACGTTTTCATCAAAATAATTTAAGCAATCAGTAGGTTTCATTATTTTAAACATAAATTTTAATAAGAAATATTAAATTTGTTATTGATAAATACATATTCATTTCTATTACGAAGATCAGAAAAACACAGTTTCATAACCACTTTATACGAAAAATATTTAAAAAATCATTACTTTAAAATTTTTTATATTTATAAATAAAATGTGTTTTTAGGCAATTACGTTTATCACAATACATCCCATATTACGGAAAAACAAGAAATAAAAGCTTTGCAATAGTTAATCATTTTTGCTGAAAAAACGGGTACTTTAATGTGACAGGATTGAAAATCACATAATTTTTGTATACTGAAGTTATTGCCTAATAAACTTCAACTTAATTAATAGGCGAGTCCATAGCTTATAAAACGATTAAATTTTTCTAAAAGTGGGGTAAATGTAGTATAGTTGAAGGGTGATAAAACAAAGATTGCAAAACAGTATGACAGAATTTAACAATGTCACAATTTTCCATATGGGCAGAGAATTATGTTTCAAGGATTTGTTTTCTAGCTGGATAATGCTCCGAAACATTCTTTGGGAGAACCTAAATACATGGCATGGCCACCTCTATCCCTTGATCTCGACCCTATTGAACTGTTGTTGGATGAGCTCTAAATTTCATAACAACCTCACATGAAAAATATTTGAAAAATCATTATTTTTTATGTTTATAAATAAAATGTGTTTTTAGACAATTATGTTCATTACATTACATCCCATATCACAGAAAAACATGAAATAAAAACTATTCAACAGTTGATTGTAGTCATTTTTGCTGAAAATCACATAATTTTTGTATACTGAAGTTATCTAGTTATTGAATGTCTACATTTCTGCTCTGGAAATTTGGCAATTGTCTATATGAACTCTTTTATAGATCTTGATGTCTTCTCTCAACCTTTTAAATATTTCTCGCTACTTACGGGACACACTGTATATGTACATATATTTTTTTTTTTAAAATCATGTTTTGGCTCAATTTTTTAATGATGTCTCTCATACTGTTATGTTTTATAACTTCCATTTAAACCCTCTGTTCAATCTCTTCTAAATTTATTCTTCTTTTTCTTCTTCTTCAAGGGGCGCTACAGTCCTTGTAGAATCTGGGCCTCTGCCACCACTCTCCTCCACTCCTCACGGTCCGCAGCAAGATTCCTCTCATTTCTGATCCCTAGCCTCCTCAAGTCTTCTTTCATATCATCCAACCATCGGTGTCTGGGTCTACCTCTTTGTCTTTTCCCTCCTGGAGTACCATTCAGCATCATTTTTGGAAGTCTACTGAGATCCATTCTTTCAACATGACCCAGCCATCTGAGCCTGCCCTTCTTAATGACACTAAAGATGTCTAGCTCCATATAACTCCATTAACTCTGTGTTGCTTTTTATTCTCCATCTATGCTGCTCTCTGACAGCTCCAAAGATCTTCCTTAGAATTCTTCTCTCCCACACCAACATGGCTCTCCTGTTTTCCTTGGTCATAGTCCACGTCTCACTGCCATACAAAATGACCGGTCTAATCACCGTTTTATATATTAATATTTTTGCCTTCCTGGACAGACTTTTGTATCGGAGCGCCTTTTGCAGAGCTTAGGAACATCTAGTTCCTGCAACCATCCTGCCTTTTATTTCTGCTTCCATATTATTGCTTTCCGTCACTACTCCGCCCAAGTACTTAAATGTATTTAAGTACGTTGCGAAACGTGTCTTCTCCCAATTCAACAGTATCTCCTCTCTCTTTGGTATGTCGGGATGTTTTCATATACCTCATCTTTTCCATGCTTATAATGAGTCCTAACTCTTGAGCTGCATGCTTGAACTCTTCTATAGTGCCGGCTAGTGCTGCTTTAGTCCTTCCTGATATTACAACGTCATCAGCATATGCCATGTGTTGCGTGAGCCTATTATAGATGGTACCACCAGGGTTCATCTTGATTTTCCGAATTGCAACCTCTAAAGCGCGATTGAATGATACATGAGATAACGGGTCCCCCTGTCTTAAGCCACTGTTAACCTCAAACCTATCTGACATACCCACTCTGGTTTTGATCATACAGCTTGTCCTTTCTATGGTCATTCTGGTCAATCTTATTAGTTTACTAGGAATCCCCAGTGACTGTAAGGCTTCCAATAGCCTACTCCTGTTCACACTGTCATATGCCTGTCAGAAGTCAATGAATAGGTGATGCAGGTCTATATTATATTCATACGCTTTCTCCAGCATTTGTCTGACAGAGAAAAGGTGGTCAGTAGTCGATCGTCCTGGGCGAAAACCACTCTGGTACTCTTCCAGAATACCCCACTTTGATATCAATCCATTGGAGGATATTATAATTGGAGTGGTGGTGACATTCCCCAAATGATATAATTCCTTCAGTTCAATTGCCAGTTCCTGGTATTTTCTCAGTTTTTCTCCAACAGTAGAGCTTATATTATTATCATTGGGGATCCCGACATCAATAAGCTCTGCTCTTTTCTCTCTCATATCTATCAGAAGGTTATCTGGTTTATTGTGACGCACAGTATGGTCAGTTATAATCGATTCATCCCAGTAGAGCTTCAGACTACCTGTTTGGAGGAGTTTATTTGGGTGGTACTTATAATATGGAGTTTTGTCATATAATAAGTTGTGCTTCATCGCTAGAGCCTGATGAAAAATTCTAGCCACATGGTTATGCCTTTGGAGATACTCGGTGCCAGCTAACACTCCACACCCACTTGTGATATGTTGGATTGATTCCAGTGTCGCTGAGCACAATCGACATTTATCCGCAGTTGTTGCATCTTTAAGAATATGCCTTCTATATGATCTAGTAGCAATAACTTGGTTTTGGATGGCGAGTAGAAATCCTTCTGTCTCGGAGAATATCTTTCCAGCTTTCAGCCATTCAATGGATATTTCCTTGTCAATCGAGCTATCATTCAATTTGCTGTAGAATCTTCCATGCGGAGATTTGTTTTTCCTTTCTGTCAACCGTTCATTTACTGACACGATTGCTCAGGTTAAGGGCGGTTAGACCATAATCCAATGTTGAGATTGCGAGGTAAACCTCAGTTGTTTTTGTAAGAAAGTATCGGTGTAGGGCCACTTCCTGCTTGCGGCAAGCTTCTTCGATATTTAGCAAACCATGTCCTCCTTCTTTCCTAGGTAAATACAGACGAGCTTTGGAGGATATTGGGTGGTAGGCCCGTTCTTGTGTGAGAGTCGTTCGCACAAGGTGGTTGATCTCCTGTAGGCTGGTGTTGGACCAGTGCAATATGCTGAAACTATAACTGAGAGCAGGTATTGCCCAGGTGTTAATAGCCTTGATTTTTTTTTTCCCAGTTAGCTGGGTTTTGAGCACTTTCCGCAATCTAATTTTGAACATTGTCAGGAGGTCTTGTTGCATGTCTTTTCTTGCAATTTAAGATGTTGTTGTATGCCCAGATATTTATATAACTTATTGTCTTCAAGCTCCTTGATGTACTCTTTTTCATTGATTAGAATATTCTGCATACCAACCACTTTTCCTTTGGTTACATGGAACACCCTACATTTATCTAGACCAAGTGACATGCCTTTATCACTAGTAAAAGATTAAACGGCTTCAACCATACTTTGTAATTGGTCTTTGTTTTTCACATATAGTTTAAGGTCATCCATGTACCAGCTGTGGCTGACTGTGGTGGCTTCGTCGTTGATGATTAGTTTGTATCCCATCTTGTTCTTTCGAAGAATCCTGCTTAGTGGGAACAAAGCCATACAGAACCATAAGGGGCTTAGACAATCTCCTTGGTATATTCCTCTCAATATTTTAATTTGATTCCCTGTGCATATAGTTCCAACTTTCAGCATAGTTTTCCATCCTGTCATTAAGTTTGAAAGGAGCCTGCTTACTTTAGATTCAACCTTGTATATATCTAGTACTTTAAGTAGCCAGCTGTGTGGAACCTAGTCAAAGGCCTTTTTATAATCGATCCATGCCATAGAGAAGTTTCGCTGTTTTTTTCGAAACTTGTGCTGCAATGAACGAATCTATTACTAAGAGTTCTTTACAACCCCTAGCCCCTTTTTTGCACCCTAGCTGTTCTATGGATATCATATTCTCACTTTCGGGGTGCTCATATATCTTAGTTGCCAAGATGGAAGTTAGAATTTTATACAGACCATTTAAACACGTTATTGGCCGAAAATCTTCAGGACGCATGTTAAAGTCATTCTTTTTCGGAAGCATATACGTGATGCCATCAGAGAAACCATCAGGGGGGCTCCGTTTGTCTTCAAGTATTTCCTGGTAACCTTTGGTCAGCAATTCATGCAAGCGATGAAATCGTTTAATCCAATAATTTTGGATACCGTCAGGTCCTGGTGCCCTCCAATTTTTTATATTCCAGACCGCTTCCGAAACATCTTCCATTGTTATAGTAACTTCCATCATTTCATTGGCATTCTGAAGACTTTGCAATTCTTGTATCCAAGAGCTCTCGTAGCTTGTAGCTGTGATAATTAAGAAACCTAATTTAGCTTTGATATCATTTTTTTATTTCTAAATTATTTTATGTATTAAATACCTAAAACATCATCTGAATACAGACTTAGGATTTGTATGCTTAAAAAAATAAATAGGTTTAATAATATGAATTGTTAACAGTAGTTAAAGTTTGTCAGCATATATATTGTTAAATCGTGTTTGTAATAGTTAGGGTGAATTTCAAGTTTGGAATATTATTAATGTTTAATTTAACAATTTGAAAAATTGTGAATTTTTCAGGATACAATGGGTTGGGGAGAAAATGACAGAGGAGTATCTTTTACATTTGGTGCAGAGGTGGTAGCAAAATTCTTACATAAACATGACTTTGATCTAATTTGCAGAGCTCATCAGGTAAAATTTTATTGATATTATATATCCCTATTTTTTTTTTTTAATTTTAATTTGTAATGACCATTATTTTCATGATTTTAACCAACTTGGTTATATAAATATCGATTTATCATTTTTTAAAAACTAAATATTGTATATAATTTCTTACTATGGTAATGGTTTTATCATACAGAAACGGTTTAAGACATAAATATTAAATTTAGAAAGAAAAAAAATTCTGATTACATTTTTATCTGAAGTAATTTTATAGATTATAAAAACTATTAGATAGATTATACTAAATATTTTTTTGGGCTTTTATCTGTATTTACAATACTTTGAAAGCATAATTTTAAAAATATTTGGTTTTAATTGAGATTTAATTCATATAAATTAAAGGTTTTGATAACAAACATTTTGTAAATGATAACATACTTGTAAAAATACTTTTTTCTTTTTTTATGTTGGCTTTACCGACTTGTAAATCTTTGGCTGCCTTAGCCAGGCTTCTTCACCTCAGTCTATCTTGGACTATTACTTTCCAGTTTTCTGCATCCAGCTCTGTTGTATCATAGTTGATTTGGTATATCCATCTGGCTTTAGGCGTTATTTCTAAGTTCATTATCCCAGTTTTTATGTGGAGGATTTTCCTCTAAAATCTTTTGATATTTCTTGCCTAGAGTGTTGGTTAGGGTCCAGGTCTCACAGTTGTTTATATCTTTTTACTCCTGTTAACGATTTTCCTTCTACGAAGTACCTGGTGTTGGGTTTACTATAATTAATTTTGTTTTGTTCATTTACTTGAAGGCCAATTTGTTCTACTTCTCTTACAGAGTCTTAGCCATTTTTGTCAATGACCCAGAACTGCTAAATCCTATATATATCTAAGTATTTTATGATTAGTTCTGACTCGCAACCCTGCATTTTCATGCAATGTTGCTCTTATCACCTTCAGTGATAAGTTAAACAACATTGGCGGCAAGAGTTCATCTTCCTGTCACAAACCAGTTTGATTTTTTCAAATACGTTTCTTTGTATTAAGACTCATGTACTATTTATTATTATTGATTTATTGATGTAGTTGGTATTAATTGAAAAAACACGTGATGTACATTGTTGAAAATATATAGTTTGATTTATTTGGAACTTGCTTAATCTTTCTTTTTGTCTATACACAATCATTGCATGTGGCTTCGATGATGAACAGGCAGAAAAAAAGAAACTCTAAAACAGACAAGGAGTTAGATGAAGTTAATTTTTCTGAGTCCATTAACTCATCCAGTGGTACCAAGAAAAACAGGTTAACTGGAAGTATGATAATAAGTAAATATGATTTAGAAAAACGATTAAGTAATTTCAGTTTCCTCCTTATAATAATTCCGAAAAATGGGAATATTACATAGACCGTTTTGAATTGGAATTAGAAATTAAAAATATATATGGTAACGACGAAATAATAGAGAAGTCATGACATAATTTACTGTTAAAATGTGTGGGAGTAGAGTTATATAAACTAGTGGTGGATTATTTCCATCCTACAAAAATTACTCAATTGCCTTATTCTGAAATAAAAACATTTTTAGATCCATATCTAAAACCGACCGCAAGTTATCTGGCAGCAAGAGTAAAATTTGGGCAATTATTCCGTGACAAATCAGTCAATAGCATCATTTTTAATTTTTCAATTTTTCAATAGCATCATTTTTCATTGCGCCCGTTATCATTAAACAGGCTAATCTCTGTAATTTTTCCAATTGTACCCTGTTGTGTCCCACTCTTTCCTTATGCCACCATAGAACAGTTGAATATAAAAGCACTGGTCTAACTGCTGCAACATACAGCCAGTAGACCATCCGAGGTTTAAGTCCCCATGCCTTCCCTACAGCATTCTTACCCCTCCAGCCAGGATTCCTGTCACATTACTCAACAGATCAGATAAAACATTCTGATATTTTCCACCAATAACAATAGCAATATCATCTGCATATTCTTGTGCATAAAAGCCTGCAGTGTTTAGTTTTAAGAGCAAGGAATCCACTACCAAGCACCATAGTAATGGAGAGAGCACATCTCCCTGTGGACAACCTCCTCCAGGTTTATTTCACATTACGGTGTTTCCTAGTTCAGTTTTAAGAATTCGTGTATCCAACATGTTACCAATCCATTTGGTGACAGGTGGTTCAATTTTTCTTGTCCTTAGAGTATGCATGATAGTAGTAAGGAGTTCTATCGAAGGCATCTTCTATGTCTACAAAGGTACCAATAATTATTTCCTTCTGCTTCATAGATTTTTCAATCCTTGATACCAGATTATGTATTGCATCTTCACATGATTTACCAGGTTGGTAAGCTAATTGATTGGAATGCATCGAATTAGCGTTCACTAATTGTTCTCTTATGTGCCTGTCCAAAATCTTCTCTAATGTCTTCATTAGAAAAGATGACATGCATATTGGCCTGAAAGACTTAAGATTATCATACACTGACAGGCAAAAAATTCCACCCACTTGATTTTTTCATGTTTTCATCTAAAAATATTTCTTCTTTGGATTGGTCTATTGTTTTTAATGAATAAATAGGTAATCTTTTTGTTTGTTTTCAATTAGGAATGTTAATATAGAGGACAATAATCCTTAATCCTTAATTCAATGAAATGATTCTAGATTCCAATGTTTACTTTCTATGGAATCAAAATGTTTATTCAGTATCATTAGTTCAGTGCCGTTTCTTGCAGCACATTTCTTAGTCTCTGGCTTTTAATTTTTTCAATATTAAGTTTAAAAATGCCTCCTAGTGCTGAGAATGTTGCGCGTGGTGTGGCACTTATTGATAATGGACGTTCCATTAGATATGCAGCTAATGCCATTGGAGTTCCATATGAAACTTTACGAGACGCCGTCAGGCGTTTTCGGGAAACTGGTTCTTACAATTGAAGGCCCGGTTCTGGATGGCCTAGGCTAACAGAACCACGGGATGACCGGTTTTTGACTTTGAGAATTTTACTAAACCGGCACCTTACCGTTGTTCAAGCGATTCATCAGCTCGGGGGGAGGGGGGCGGGGTGGCCGAATTGGCTAAAGCGTGTGTAACAGCACCGCTAGTTGCCTGGCAACCGGATAACAGAGATTTGAGATGATATAAAAAGTAAGAGTTCGCGGTCCCGAGAGTCCCGGTGCCGGAGGGGATTTTAAATTCCCCGCCCTCTCTCCCCGGCCCAGGAAAATCCCGTATAGCCTAAAAGGGGTGAGGTAGGGAAAAACAACAAAAAAAAAAAAAAAAAAAAAAAAAAAAAGATTCATCAGCTCGAAGAAGTTTGAGGTGTGGAAATTTCTGAACATGCCGCTCGGATAAGATTAAATGTGTATGGATTAATGGCTTTTCGTCCAGTAAGAGGACCAGAGTTGACCAGAACTCACAGAGTAACACGGCTGGCTTTTGCTCAAGAACACAGCCATTGGACTATGGACGAATGGAGTGCTGTACTTTTTACAGATGAGTCAAGATTCGCTCTTCGATCTCCAGACGGGGATGATAATGTTTGGTATGCAGCCTGTAATTTTTCCCTGAGCCAACCTTTCCAATGTGGTTCCTTAATAGTGTGGATTGGGATTTCAATGGAGCGCCGCACAGAATGGGTTGTTGTTCGTGGAGGGTCTTTGAGGGCCATTCGCTATGTAGATGAGATTTTGGAACCTCATGTGTTGCCTATCCTCAACGAAATCGGCGATCGTTCTATTCTAATGCACACCCACATATCGCCCACATAGTGCAGCAGACGTTCCTTCAACAGATCAATATTGAGGTTTTAGCCTGGCCAGCACGTTCTCCAGATCTGAACCTCATTGAGCATTTATGGGATAACCTCGGAAGATGAATAAGAGCGGGTGCAACACTTTCTGATACACTGCAGGATCTTGAAAGGGCTCTTCGGGAGGAATGGGCTATCTTCCAACAAAGGGACATTTCCCGACTGGTGGAAAGTTTGTTGAGGGGTCTCCAAGAAGTAGTGAAGGCAAGAGGAAGAAACACCCGCTACTAAACGATGATTTAATTAATTTCTTTTAGAATAATAATGGTTCGTTTTTCAATTTTTTTTCTCTAATCTTTCTTACCCTACCCAATCACATTTTGATTATTAAAAGTAAAAAAGATTATAAAATTTCAAAAATACTAAGTATTATCTATAAATACCATGTATTATATACAAATACAACTTTTTTTACAATTGGCAGAAATATTTTTAGATGAAAACATGAAAAAATCAAGTGGGTGGAATTTTTTGCCTGTCAGTGTATGTTCCTTTTCCAGGTTTTGGTATATTGCACAGTTTGGATCCTCCCCATTCTGCAGGAAGGTATCCAAACTCTATACTGCCCCTTAATAGCTCTAGGAGATAGGGTTTAATTATTGAAAGTCGTTTTTGAATCAGTATTGGTAGATTATCATCCGAACCTGCCGATTTATAGGGAGATAGTGTGTTTGCAGGCCATTCCAGTCTGTTTGCTGTAACAATTTTTCTAGCCTTAAGCCACCCTTCTCGATTAGCTGTGTAGTGTCTGTATAAGCCTTTCCCATGGTCTCACATCTAGGAAAGTGTGCTGTTGCCAGTTCTCTCAGGGTTTCCAGCTCATTAGTTAGTTTGCCATTGACCCTTATAGTGTACCCAGTATTCCTTGGACTTTCTGTTTAGTGAGTTTTTTTTTATCCTACTTTCCATAGGAATATTATCAATTTCTTGGCAGAAGTTCCTCCAAGACTGTCTTGTGGCTTTCCTCACAGATTTATGATATTCTGTGAAGGCGGTCCTGTAAACCTCCCAGTTGCCATGTCTTTTTGCAGCATTTAACAATCTTTTTGCATGTGTTCTTTGCCTCTCTAAGTCCTTGTTCCACCAGGATACCCTTCTTTTGGATATCTTGGTTAGGACATCATTACTGCTCAGATATGAGTTTCTTATTACATCTGTTAAAGATGAACTTAGGCACTCTAGCTGCCAAGTGTTATCTTTTTTTTTTTGACAGTATCTGGATGCCTCCTCTAGATATGAGAAGTATTCTTTCCAGTCCGTAGACTTTGGATTCCTATAATTCTCTATAGTTTTAGTATCGTCAGAATCTGATATATTTGTGGTCTGAACATGTTTCCTCGTCCGATACATGCCAGTTCCGTACTTTTGACATGACCTGACTGAAGGCCAACGTTATATCTATTACCTCTGACCTTAGTTTGTTAAAGAAGGAAGGTTTTTTGCCCCTATTTAGTATGTGTAAATTATTACTAATAAGAAAATCCATCAATATCTCACCTTTAGGGTTGTTATTGGTGCTGCCCCATATGATGTTATGGGCATTAGCATCCAGTTCCATCGGGGTGTTTTCATTGTTGGAATTTAGAATTTTTCCATATCTTGTGCAGGAACTCCTGACTCATATGGCAGGTAACCCGCCACTATGGTTAGTGTCCTTTTGTCTTTTGGTGAAGTAAATTTGGCTGCTGCCCAATCTCTAGAACAAAATTGCCAAAGAGGCAGTAATTTTAGTGATTTTTTTATATAGAATACACGCCCTGGGGTTGGTAGCAACAGAAATAGTTCCATAGCCATTGATTCCCAACCCCCTGATCGTGTTATTATTTAAGCAAGGTTATTGGATTAATATAATATCAATATCTTCACCTTTGATATATTGTAGAAGCACCCCACTTGTAGCAATGCAGTGGTGTAGGTTTATTTGTAGCAGCCTCATCTAGGTAAGTTAATCAGTGGACATATTGGACGTACTCCCGGGCGGCGACCGTGGCAGGCTTTCACCCTCAGACCCTGCCTCGATTGAGTCTTTGGGATCAGTCCCGTCTCCAGTTTCCTTCAGTGCCCATTGTCCAAAACTCCGTACATTAAAGGTATTAGTAGAGGGTTGGTTATCCAAAGGTTCCAGTGGCAGGATTTCACCAGAGGAGATAGTTTTTACTGTCCTCTCCAGCTTCTTCCCTTCTCCTGGTTCACCACCAGATTCAACTCCCTTTGCCTTACTTAATCTTCCAGGGGCCAGACTCACAGTTGACGAGGATGGCTGGGATTCATCAGGCAAAAGAGCTTCCGCTCTCTAGCAAGGTGTTTAATTGCTGGCAGGTCCTCTAAGCCGCCGTAGTTAGGAGCTTTAACCTCAATTCTTTCCAGGACCTCCTCCTCTTCCTGTGGCATTAAGGTTTCATCCTTGCTTTGCTCCTTTAATACTTTAAAAGTAACATGTTACCAGCCATAACCAGCCTTCATACCATGTTTCTTGAGGCTTTCTAAGCTGGAGTCTGGGATTCTGACGATGGCAAAGAATCCCTTATCCATTTCTTTTAGGTAATGCAGATACCACTCATTTACTCCTTCAATTGTGGTATTCTGCATTCTTAATCTTTTCATTAAAGCTTCCTCGGTAAGTACCCTCCCCAGAAAGAAGGCACCTATCTTGGAGGTTTTTGTGAGTTCTGAGCATCCCCTGTGGGAAGGGTAATTCCCTCTGCTAAGTTGATGCTCGGAATGAGTTTAGCCAGCCAAGTGCATGTTTCGTTATTCATACATACGACAATACCTCTTCCTATTTTGTAGCTTACACCATCAAAAAGTGGGTGGTACTCTCCATGCTTGTCAAGCTCATCCACCTTATCAGCGATGAATTTTCTTAGTGCCTCTACCTGTTTGCAGTCAAGCATGACCCCTGAGATGATCATTGCGTCTTTAGCTTAGTGCCCTAATGTAGGTCCTGCTTCCGGATGTGTTTTTAGAATGATTTTGGCAGCCATTCTGTTCTTCCTTTGCCGCCTTTTTATTGTTTTTGACTGTTTCAGTTTGGCAGGAACTGCAAAGCAAGTCCACCGCCTACCATCTGAATATTTGATTCTGTCAGGCCTGCTGATAGGCCTGTCCCTTGAAGGTTTTGTGGTGGTAGGGTAACAGCTCCTTGTTCAATCCAGATACCAATTACTAGCTCGTACAACAATTTTTCCAGCTCCTCGCCCTCATACTTCAATAATTCAGCCTGAAGGCCATGCCAGGAGCCTCGTTATTTTTTTAGCTTACAAATCGCAGCTTTTACCTCATCTTGGTTAGATCGATCAATGTCATCACTTCTTAAGTGATTAAAACTGTTCTTTGGTGTAAAAAAGTCTCCCGCATCTTTACAGTACCTGATCCTTCTGAGTGAGGAATTTCCATTCTGAGCCTTACAAGAAGTCACTCTTGGCATGAATGCTGTTCTTCCATTATTAAATCTTTGGAAGATTAGTCTAGATTCATTAGCTTTTTAAAAGTTTACTATCTGCTTAAACTTTTGATCTTTGCAGCCTCGCTTCTTCTCCTCTCACCATACACCTGAGCTTAATGTCTTGTGTAAGGCTGCGACATTTTCATGTATGCTTTATTTTTTCTGGCTGTTACCTGGAGACATTCTTTGTTGAACCAAGGAAATTGAGTGGGCCTTTCTTTAAACCAAAGGTTTTCTCAGCTGTTGTATTTAGTGATTCAGAGCATTTTTCCATTGTTCTTCAATGCTATCTGCAGATGACTTCATTCTTTTAATTTCAGGCAGTTTTAGATGTGAAGCAGTTCTAATATGCAATAAAGTCTTTCATCTCCTTTAGCTTGTCAATGTTGTATCTTCTTAGTGAGTGTATTTTAGAGAATATGTTAACAGATTTTCTTGTTCTAATTTTGACTTGGTAATGATCTGTGTCTAGGTTTGCTCCTCTAAAAGATTTTACATTCATCAAATTGGATTTATGACAAGCGCTGAGCTCCTAATTTGTAAAGAAATAAAAATTCTAGTAGATAAAGTTTAGGTCATAAGTTGAGGTTTAAACCAAATCATGAGTCTATAAGTTGAGGTGTTTTGATTATTATATTTTAAGAAAAGAGGATAATCAACCCACTGTCCCGATTCAGATGGAGGGCTGTCTCCACGAAGGACTCCACCAATGGGGCAACTACCTAGGCGAGGTGATCCTAGAATAGATGACTTTTTGTCAGTGTGATTAAATGGTTTATTGTTTTGTGTGTGTTCTTACTCTCTACTGAACTTGGGAAACTCCGCTAGCTGTGCACTTCAGCTAGCCCCTGTACATCAGCACCTTCATATGCTTTTTACATTTCCTTATAGTTTTATCAATTTGTTATTTGACATTTTATGTTAGGTAGTACTCAATTCTGGTTAACCAAAGAAGTTTGTATGCCTCATTGTGTACACATTCTGCAAAGTTTGCTTCACTACATTTCCATTGTAGTGAAGCCCCTAATTTTATTTCCATTGAAGAAAAATTCCCTGGCTAATGGTTGGATAGGTCTACATTATAATTGGTTAGTTTTTAAAGTCGTGTTTGTCTTCGATAATTGGGTGTCCTATCCAAGTATGCATCCCTATTCTGTATTGGTTTAAACCATGGTTGTAGGGGTGAGTTGTTATTTTAATTATTGCCAATAATGTGAAGAAGATAGTACTTAGTGTTCTGTGAATTGAGATAATTTTGTTATTGTTATTAATATTTAACATTACATAGTAATCCTGATTAAACTTCTCTTACAGTTAATAACTTTTTTTAAAGGTTGTTGAAGATGGTTATGAATTTTTTGCAAAGAGGCAACTTGTGACACTGTTCTCAGCACCTAACTACTGTGGTGAGTTTGATAATGCTGGTGCAATGATGTCTGTGGATGAAACTTTGATGTGTTCTTTCCAGATTTTGAAGGTACCTAATTCTATGAGTTTCAAATATAATATTAACTTAAGCTAATATTTTTATCTTTTAGATTAAAGATCTATTATTTATATCAACTTTTTTTGGAGGAAAAGTGGGAAATAGCCCCCATGCCAATAGAGTTGGCCTCTACTCAACATAATGAAGGATTTACAATTTTGTCTAAAAGAAAGTATACAAAATTTATGAACAATTACATACTGAAGGAATATAATTCTGCCAGAATATAAATACTAAAAGAAAAAAATAAACAAGATAAAATAATAAAAAATACACATTTAAAATAAAATAAAGTGATATAAAAAATAATTAATGCAATCTTATTGAGATTACTTTTTATATGATGTAATGTTGTTATTATTTAATCACCTATGTAATATTCTATGGAGGATTAAATAAGATTTGATATCTTCATTGCTTCAATTCCTACAATCATTAATATAATGAAAATAAACAAAGATCTTCAAAAGAGGCGTTATGAATGGAACAATCCAAACTATAAAGCCATGAGTCTCCAACATACAAGTGAACCGTTAACTTGCCAACATTTTGCCAATTCAGGCATCATCAGGGTAGAAAAAATAAGATTGCATACATGCAGAACAAAAAAAGAGAAAAAAATTCATAATTTCTCTTTTTTGATCTTTTTGCTTGTTTTAGTTATATTATTTGTTGACCAGCCATGTTTCCACCAAGGTTTGTGGGCTATGTACATTTTATGCACCTTCGAGCTATTTTGTGTATTTATAAAAAATTTCTATTATATTAATACATTTTTGTATTACTATATTTCAAGTATGATTTTTTTTCTCTATATCCCTGCTAATTCAGCTGTTTTATCTAAAGATACTATTTTGCTGGCGCTGCCCACGGCAGCGACCACTATTTCGATGAAACTGCTTCCTGAGGTTGTTATAACCTGCCTACAACCTTCAAACATTTCGTTCTATCTTCGAAAATAAAAAAAAATGGACTTACTACGCTGTAAAATATTGTGGTGGAATAAATAAATAATCTTGTTGCTTCAACCTTAAAAAAATAATTTATTATTGTGTTGTTTAAGTTTTAAACAATATTTCTTATAATTTTGCCAGACTTGAAAGAAACGTAGGAAATAAAACTTATCAACCTGACTACTATCATCAAAACAATGCTCTGCTAACCTAGAACTGCCGAACCGCCAACAACTCCACTGCTTCAGGAGCAGTCCGATAGGAGCAGCTTAGATATAACGTCATACTTAGACTGCCAAGCAGCGCCAACAAAATAGGTTTCTTTCTATTCCACTAAAGCAGTGGTGACCGCAAACCGTTGCTGCCGTTTTCTTTGATTGATGAATTTAACTATCATTATTAATGCTTATGCTCAGTTTTCCATATTTTTATCCTTTTATCTATTGTTAAATTGTGTTTAGTGTTTAGATGTTAAATTGTATTAGGTTGTTTGTCTTGTTTTCCCATAATTATTTAGTGATATACAAAGTAATAAAATATTAATATTACCTTATTTATTCTATTTTATAGCCCGCTGATAAGAGAAAGTTTACATATGGTGGTCTTAACACTGGACGTCCTGTAACTCCTCCTCGAGGTGTAACCAGTAAGAATAAAAAGAAGTAATAAATAGATGATTGTCACTTTTCATTTCTCATTAATTTAAATATGTTTGCAAATAGCAAACTAAGTCAGTTACAACATGGCTGCTAATGTGCTAATTTCCATACTTCCTTAAGTCGTACCTAATTATTCGCATTGATCGTGTATCTATTTATTTACGGGATAGAAATAGTTTAGTTAAAGTACTAAGTTCATGTGGATTTAAAATAATACGTGTATGAGGGTTATCAACAAAACCAATTAGTTTTATGGAGCCAGAAATAATATTTATTGTTTACTTTATTAGGTTTAATTTTTTTTTTTATGGCAAGACGATATATTTAGATTTATGGCTGTTTTTGTGTTCATGTTTTATTATGAAAATCAGTTATGTACAATATATATATATATATATATATATATATTATATATATATATATATATATATATATATATATATATATATATACACACCAGTATTTTCTTCTATTTAGAAATAGTGTTTATGTCAATAATGGCCAGAAAGTGTGTGTGTGTTCTTGTTGTATGTAGTTTATTTATGTGTATAAGTATGCGTGTGTATATATATATATATATATATATATATATATATATATATATATATATATATATATATATGCACGTACATACACACTCAGATATATCAGCATTAATATCGTAGTTTCATAGGTATTATTGATATATATTTAAATTAATTACAAACCCAAGCAGATACAGCTTTGAATTAATATTGATGATCTAATTATATATGCACATAATCAGATAATTTAAGTATAAATTCAAAAGTTTATATATATATAATGATTAACTTGTAGGCTCACATACACTTTCACATAGTTTCTTTGACTTTAGCTGTTAAACTGTTATTTGTCCTTTGTTTGTATATTACATGTATCTTATGATCGGTTTTAATTTCTTTTTTTTTTTCAATGTTTGTTTTTATTTATTTAATTTTTTAATGTTAAAATATTTTGACGGTAAACCGTTTTAATTGTTCTGATTAATTCATTGTTATTCTTATCATTATAAAACTCATTGAATGAAAATAAAATTGGCATTGAATTTTATTATTTTTTCCTTATTGTTCTGTACAATAACTGTCAAGCTTAGTATCTTCCAATTACATATTATATTATTTAGTTTAAGTAATGAAAATAAAGATACTTTTTGAAAAAAATATTGTAAAATATCTTGATTTTTAAATTGCTGTATGTAGGCATATCTTTAAATTCCTTGTCTAATTGTGTTAATATGTAACAATGTGAATATTTAATGCGTCTCCATAATTTCTAAATTTATTTCATCATTGACATAAGTTGTCCATTCCTGTATTAATAAGAAATACTGATTTTGATGACACATATGGTTTTATTTTCAATGATATATGTAGTGTTTAATAAGAACAATTTTTTAGCCTACTCCATCAATTTTGTACTAACACAAGAGAAATTTTTCATGCGAAGGTATGGTCTAATCTAATAGCCCTTATAGCAACTTTTTTTAAATTTATTAAAATAACTTCATCATTTATTTAACTTTAGGAGTTACTTGTTGTAATTGGATTGACAAATTCCATTTAATGATATTACTTATTCAGTAATAATAATTAATGTTTAAAATGAATATATAAGATTTAGGAGAAGAAGGGAATAATTTAAGGGCAGCATTTGAGTTTCGGATTTGTGAGTTCAACACCTAAATACTGGCAGAAACATAATTTAAATTGGTAAATGTAATTAATAGATACATAGAATAAGGTTATTAAAATTAAAATGAATAAAATAGAAATAAAAAAAAGAGAGTAACAACTTTAAAAAAAAAAAAAGACAAAAACTGTCACAAGGTAATTCTTGAAAGATTCCAAAACAAATTTTGAGTTTATCAAATACCTAAGAGTATGTGTGCCATCTTTATTTGGTTGGTCTGTTTTAGGCTTTTTAAGTGATATGTGTCTATCTGTCCATAAACTGAATTATTATGATTTTGTGTTCTTCAGGCTTTGTTTTGGAATTTTCCAATAATAACCTGTGAAATAAATTTCTATGAACTATAAAGATAATTTATAATAGATTATATCTGTAGTTGGGCTTCAAATGTATAGTAGAACTTATCAGCCTTATTTACTAGAGAACTTTAATAATGAGTTGTTGCTCAAGATAGGTCAAAGAATAATGGAAGGTAATACTTGTTTTTTTACTGTACAAAGGTATGTCGAGGTATTATTTATAGTAATCCGAAGACCCCTGACAGAGTGTATTAAGTTTAGGGTAATATGACATAGTGAATGAAGGAGAGGAGGTATAGACAGGATGACCTCAAGTGTCAGGCGGATGAGCACCCAAATCACTCTTGGTCTGTGGGGTTAGGGATGAACCTTAACACTCCGCAGAAACGGAAACCACAAACGGAGGGATCAATCTCTTGACTTTCTGGGAGGATGAAGTACTAACAGAAGGATCAATCTCCTGACTTAGTATATAGCAGTACGAGCGGACGGATCAGCACCCAGACCTATGGAGAGAGAATAGGAAAAAAGGTTATAGGAGTATTATGAAATAAAAGGCAGTTTGATGCAGAACCAAAATGCATTTATAGAATATACTGATCAAACTGCTGGGAAGGTCTACACCCCAAAATGGTTGAGTCCTGAGGACTTTACTGAAATTCTGAGGACACCTATGGTCTTCGTTACTCCATGATTAAATGGGCTAGCAAGAGCCATTACAGCGACTGTTATTTAAAGTCTTCGATCTGTATACCTTATCGCCCTTAAACTTTATTAATAATAAGTATATACATATTTCTATTTACAATTTGAGTATTTTACAATACAATAATGAAAAATAAAAATACATCTTTTAGGTATATTGAGTAAGTGCAAATTCTCGCCATAAGTGAAGTGAAGAAGAAGGGTAGTGGAGGAATGAAATTGGCTAATAATTACTCCCTAATTTATGCTGGAGTACCTAGAGAGGTTTTTGCCAAAGAAGGCGCCTAGTAATGTCACCTAATATGTATGATCATTTAGAGGGCTGGGAGCTGATATCTCCAAGAATGATTGTAGCAGATTTTAAGATGACCATAGGTAAGATCTCCATAATCCAGGTGTATGCACCAATGGAAGATGCTAGTGTTGCAGATAAGGAGGCATTCTACTATTTGCAAAAACTAGTGGATAAAACTAAAGGAAAAGGAAGTTCATTAATCCTAAGTGGGAACTCCAATGCCAGACAGGAAATGATGAAATATCTGGATATGGAGTTCTAGGGCTACATGGAGGAGAGAATGTGAGGAGTAGTAATGGACAACGACTAATAGACTTTTGTGTACATAATGACTTCCTCATAGGAAATTCTTTCTATCCACACAAGTGAATCGACAAAATCACTCTGATGCATGGAGCGAAATAGTGTAATTGACTATTTCATATACAATAGGAACATAAGGCAGTATTTCGCTGATATAAAAGTAGTAAGAGGAGCGGAAATAAGCAGCAACCACCTTTTACTTGTGCCTGATACAAAGATCATTCCTGAGTATAAAAGGAAAATAAAAGTATTTGAAGCCCTCAAGTTAAGGGCCTTGGATGACCCAGAGAAAAGGGCCCTCTTTTGCAGAAAGCCTGGAAAATAAATTAAGAGAAACGTCATTCAATGTAGATATGGAAGGCACTTAAAACATGTATTCTGGAAACAGCAAATACAGTTTGTGGGAAGAAGAGAGTGTCTGATAAGGGAAAGTGGACAGACTGATGGACCAATGACCTCCAACGACTGATTTCTCGGAAGAAGCTTGCCTGGAAAGCATAACTTAAAGATAGAACTGAAGGAAAGCTACACGTTTATTGAATAGACAGGAATGAATGTAAAATAACCATACGCCAGGCCAAGAAGAAGTGGGAGGATTTTGGTTGCTGAGCGAGGATCATCGCGAATCTATAACAACATTTTGGCGAAAAGTTAAAATTTTAAAAGGAAAGCAATGCAAGCCTATTAGAAATGTAAAAGGTAGCGATGGAATTGTACTTACAGACAAGGAAAGGATCATTGGCAGATGGAAGCAATATTTCCATGAACAATTCTCCCAAAACCCAGAAACAGACCATTGTCAAGAACAAGAGCCCAATATTCAAGAAAGCCTGGAAGTTATAGAGGAAGAAGAAAGAGACAATTCAATTCATAAGCTAAAAAGAGATAAAGCATCAGGAAGGGATGGAATTGTACCAGAGTATTTGAAATATGGTGGTCAAGAACTTCTTAAAGCACCTCAATCGCTCTTCCAAGAGGTATATGACAGAAAGAAAATTCCCATTGACTGGGAATATTGTATAATCCTCCCAATTTATAAAAAAAGGATGCACGGCAGACTGCAAAAATCATAGGCGCATTTGTTTGCTTTCAGTAGTCTATAAACTTTATACTTCTATTCTAGAAAGGAGACTCCGGCGGATTGTGGAAAGGCAGTTAGAAGCGGAACAGGGTTTTCTTCCAGGCCGAAAAACGCAGGATCACATCTTTGTTCTCAGAAATGTTGCTGAAAAAGCATGGGACAAATAAAAATCTGTATCTTGCATTCCTTGATCTGAAGGCATCGTTTGATGTGGTCCCAAGAAAACAAATTTGGGATGCCCTAACAGCCAAGGATGTACCTGGAGACTTGCTGGCGGCCATACAGTCAGCCTATCAAGGAGCCATGGCAGTGGCAAGGATGAACGGTATGGAATCGGAACCTTTTCCAATTGCGAGAGGAGTTAGACAGGGAGATAGCTTAATTCCCTTTCTATTTATAAATGTAATGGATGAAATCCAAAAAAATCTGCATGCGTCGACAACAATTGGGAAATGGAATTAGAGAACTGTCCTAATAGCTGACACCAAGACCAAACTACAAAAATCTCTGGTAGAATGGGAAGAAGAGTTGCTTAGGAAAGGGATGCAAATTAACACCTCCTAAGAGTAAAGTGTTGGTTATGGCGAGAGAAGAACGAAAAGATGTCCAACTGATCTGCAACGGCTAGACACTTGAGGTAGTGAGTGAATATACATACTTAGGGACCTTAATTAGTAGCTCGGGTAAGATAGACGCCGAAATATCAGAATATGTAAGGCGAATTAAGTGTATTACCAGACTACTAATAGCATTATCGGCCACCGCGAAGTAGACAAGAAGACCAAATTGCATATATATAAGTCTGTTTACCTACACTCACCTACGGCGGAGAAAGCTAGACAGGCACTCTACTCGCATAACGGCAGCAGAAATGAGGTTCCTACACAGATCTGTTGGGGGAACTAGAAGGGATCGCATTAGGAACGAAAGCATTAGAGAGCAACTAGGAGTTACCGAACTTAAAACCATTCTAAAAAGACGGTAACTCCAGTGGTTTGGCCATATCTGCCGCAAGAACGAGAACTTCAATCCTATAAAGATATTAGAGGCTCGACCCACAGGAAGGAGACCACGCGGACGCCCCAGAATTACATACCAAGAGTATATTCAAAGAATTGGAAGTAAAAGAGGCAAAACCCTCAATGAGATGAAGCGACTAAGCAGAAACCGGGAAGATTGGTTACGCTGGATTGAGGCTCCTCGACGCTAACTAATGGCATAAGAGGAAGACAGAAGAAGAAGAGTAAGGGCACACCTGTGGCGCTGCCAGGTAGCGGGCCGTTGAACTTTTCGTCCCTTGTAGGTTTGTTGGCGGACAGGAATAGGTCGCTACAGGCATATTACTCTCATGTAAAAAACATAATAGAGCATCTATAGGGTTGTGGCAAGGGCTTGAAGTTATTAAACACCGGACAGATAACTTCTTAACTAGCATCTAAAAATTAGCAGGCTGTTCCCAAATAGGAGTAGAGGGTAGAGGGAGTTTTGCCATCAGGCAACGAATCTGTTCAAATGTATCAAATTTCGGGCAGACAACTTAGGAACTGAAATCCTGAAGAATCTGAACTCAAATGGTCTGCTGATGATCTAATGCAAGATTCTTATTTACTATTCAGAATTAGAGAATAGATATTCAATTTAAGGACATATGACTGATGGCAGATGTTATGGGACACCACAGGGGTCTTACGACTGAATTCTAAATCCCAATTAGCCAATTGTGACATTACAGTTTCTCTTGAGATCCCGTGTCTGTAAAGGTGCATATACTTCTGTTGGTGCAGAAGTTAATAAAGGTTGTTGGAACTGAACATAAATTAACTTAAGTAATTAAGAGTTTGATAGGAGCATGCTGAGCTCATTAGTTTTCATACACGTGAATTTTCTAGATTATTGGAAAGTTGAAGTTAAAGACAGTATTTTAATTAATATTTTTATATATTAGCATATTGTTTTTTTGTGAATTTTTAGTAGTAATTATGGCGTTGTCAGAAAAAAATTTCAATTAAACTTATGGATGTTTATTGAAAGAAAGTCTATTCTTTGGTATCCTCAGCTCAAGGATTATTTTTTAAAAACACTGAAGTAATAATATTCACCCATTTTGAGTAGAAATGATTATCCTCTTTGGAATTTTGAATTTCCAGAGGATCGCTGAAATAAACAATTCCAACGTATCTCTGGTGTGCAGAGCATATTATTATTATCGTGGTTCTACAATCCAGTGAATTGTGGCACCTCCAGCAGCTTCCGCCAATTGTCTCGGTCGTTTGCAGTAGTTATCCAATTACGATGCCTCAGCATATTTGTTGCAGCAGCAGCAACATCATCAGCCCAACACCACACAGCTTTGGCCTTCCTCTTCTGGTAATATGGAGTGGCTACATCAGCAGTTGTCTTAATAGATCCTCACTGCCCATCCTGACATGTCCTGTCCAGCTCAGTCTTCCAATCTTCATCACTTGAACTATATCAGGCTCCTTACACATGGTGTACATCTCCTGATTTTTCCTCCTTCACCACCATAGATCTTTCTCTACCTCCTTTGTGCCTTTCAGCGTGGAGGTGCCTCAATCCATGATTCCCATGCATTTCGGTCTTGAGCTAGAGCCCTCATATTCCTTATCCGCATACCTCTTTTCTGCCCGATCCACAACAATCTAGTTCTTTCTCTTTGGCGCTTTCCTACGGGTCTTACATCCATAAATGTTCGCGGGTCACGGTCTTCATTCATTCGGCATACATGGTGTAGAGTTAATGCATGTTATCAGGCAGCATTATAGCTGTTGTAAACAAAAGGCAGGTTGGCTTGGGTGAGGTTACCCAGGTAGTATTAGTCCTTTGTTCCTTATAGTGTGATGTTAATGTAGACGAATAAAAGTATTTGGTGTGTTTTCGGTTTAAAGTTTTTCAACAGTCGTTTCGTAGAGTTAACTCCGTGAGTGAGGATTACAGGTGCTGTTTACATCTATTCTCACTGTCTACAGGGAGTACCTTTTTCGTTTCTTTTTTTTTTTTTTTTTTTTTTTTTCTTTTTTTTCTTTCTGTCTTATTTCATTTCATATTAGCAATTTTTTGCATTTGTTTTAATATTTTTTTTTAATAATTAATTTATCGTCTCATCTAATGGAGACTAAATTAGAGCCAAAACCTTCTGACATACAAGAGAATATATTTAAATATAAAGGAAATTGGTCGAAGAAATATTTAATAATGAGATTAAGTGATAATCCGAGTAATAAAACTTTTAAGGACTACAGTCCTTTTAATGTTTGCAGACTTGTGAAAGGTTATGGTCCAAATGTGATTGTAAAATTTTTGAGAAATGGTACGATATTATTGTCTGTAAATAATGAAAAAGATTTTAGAAATTTAGAAAATATAAAAAAGTTCCAAAATATTCCGATTATATTTGAATTACACAAATCACTTAATTTTTCAATTGGGGTCGCCTACGTCCCAGAATTATTAAATTGTCCTGAAGACGAAATAGTGTCTGAATTTGAGAACCACGGTGTTGTGAAGGTTAAAAGAATATATAAAAAAATAAAATAGACCCACTCCGTTACTGAATTTGACGTTTGAAAAGAGCGAATTACCTGAAAGAGTTTTATTGGATTTCTTGTCTATAAAAATTAGACCTTATGAACCGAAGCCACTCCATTGTTTTTCTCGTTATAAGTATAGGCATACTAGAAAGCATTATAATATTATTAATTGTGGAAAATTCACATAACTCTGACAATTGCATAAACGATCAAATTAAGTGCCTGAATTGTCTTGGTAGTCATCCTGCTTATAGTTCTAAATGTCCAGTATACGAAAGAGAGAAAAGGATATAGGGTATGAAAACACGGAAGAAAATTTCATATCGTGAAGCAGAATTTAAGTTGAGGCTCGAGGAATTACCCATTGTAAATGACTCAGGTAGAACACACGCTAAGGTTGTGGCTGCGCATGCTCAGCCTGCCTCCACTTTTGAACAGCAATCATCTTTGGCAACAGAGGCTTTAATTGAACAGATCTCAAAATTAGCTAGTACAGTCGAAGTTTTATTTAAAAAAAATAAGTATAATGGAATCTACTTTAAACAAAATTAATTCCGATAAAAAGATCGACTGTTGTGACAAGTTAATTGTTTCTTTGCCGAAAAATAACAATAAAAATGAAAATAAAGTCAACATTATCGTTAAAGAACAAAAGATAATAAATGAAAATAAAAATAAACCGGATACTGTATCAAATATACTATGTTAATTTATAACATGAAAAGAAATCGCCCATTGTCTCAAAATTCCTCTTTGAGTGATCAAAGTATTTCTTTAAAAAATACACAAGTTACAAAAAACAAAAAAAAAATCAAGTTGGTAAGAAATCTTAACTGTAAAGGCTCTTACACACAGAACGCGATATTTAGCGCGGCAATATAGCGCCACAGTTGTATTACTATCTATTCTACTATAACAGTCACATAGAGAGGGTTACGCCACAGCGATACATGCTGTAGCGCCGGGGCCAGCGATAAATTTATACAAATTACAGAAATATCGTCCTCCTTCGACGTTATTCTCATTTTTATTTGATACGATACCTCAAGCAAATATTAAAAAAAAATTATTAAAAAGGAGGTTATACGGAAAAAATTGCGGAAGAGCTAAATATTACAAGTAATGTATTACTAATTATTGAACATTATAATAATTATATGTTAAATTCTTTTTTATCTTGAAATCATTTAAAAATTACACTTAACTTTTTTAGCTAATTTTAATTTTGTCTATACTAAAGACACGAATGATAAAAAAAAATCTGTGTATATTGTATATTTAAAAAGGTTGAGGTACAGATAATAACTATCCAAGATATACATATGTCAATAAAAGAAATTAGCTACTACGAAATTAATATTAAATAGATATGTCATTTGAAGTAAATAATAATGTGAAATAAATCTGAAGTAGTAAAATAGAACGAAAGTTAATTATTAAAATCTCTTCTGGAATATATTAAAAAATTAAATTTAATATATATATATATATATATATATATATATATATATATATATATATATATATATATATTAATGAGGTTTCAATCGAAGATTGAATATTTCAAGGCAAGAAATATAGGAAAAAATAAATCACATATTTTTTTATAAATTTATGTTCATTAGCACAATTTTTAAGAATTGGAAAGTAATACAATTTTGTTAAAGAGAAACAAGTGTCATCGCTAGAAACCGACAGTAGATATGCGAAAAACGTGCTGGAAATTCCAATAAATATAAAGCAAACAATTTCTTAATAAAAACAAATTACATTTAAATATGGTTTATTTATCTATAAAGTTATGGCATTATTTATAATTTTATTTTTTTAATTATATTTTTAAAAAATTGATGGTTTTTCGATTGTAGATTGCCAAGTCTCCATTGATTTAGTGTTGAATGGAGTGATTCGTAATTTTTGACTAGTGGTTCACGTCAATAGTCATCTCAACAAAAATAATCATAGAAATTGTCCTTTCATATTTATTATGAGAAAAATTAAATTTTGAAATGTCACCAAAATAGTTGTTAATTTATTGGCTGAACCTCAAAACTATTAGAAAATATATTAGTATTTTTACTTTCGCTTATCTATGAATGTAATAAATAACAAAGGAAAAGTATTGCTATAGCGAAAATTTTCGAATTTGAGTTTTCAACGGAAATAAACGTTTTGAGGTCCCCTTAGTCCAAATAACCAAGTCCTGCAAAATGGTCTGTGTGCCTGAGAGTCTGTGTGTAAGTGAACAGCCTAGCTCAAAAACGAAAACTCGCAAGAAACTTAAATTGCGTATTTAAGGTTTTTATATATAAAATCAGCTAACCGGAAGTGTCACTTTATATCAACGGTGAAACACATATTTACAATTTTCTCACAAACTGCTCTAACGATTATGATCAAACTCGGTGTATCATTGCATAATTAAGTGGTCTTTAATATCATTTAGGTCCTATCCCTATTGATGTCACTTCAGAGACCTTAAATGTCGAATGTTTATATACGTCTTCCTCTAAAATACCTTTAATATGGATTATTTAAACAAATTAACTCTCTTTTCTTGCCATTAACTATAAAAAATGGCTAAATGTGAAGTTTGAAAGAATATGATAATTGGAAGCTGGAGAAAAAAAGAAAAATGCTTATTCAGGTTGAAAATGAATCTCCGGAAATAACATTCAGAAGGTATACGTGTAATATATCGTTAGAAAATGAAGAATTTTAGAAAAAATAATATTAAATAAATAAATGTGTAGAAGGTAACGCAGAGTGACAAAAACAAATAGAAATCATAATTTCAGAAAACTAACATTACTTAACCTAAATCACACGTTTCCAATGAAATTAAGCGAAATTTTCTTACTAAATGTAGACTTTTGAAGTTTTTTTCCAAGTTTGAAAAAAGAGTATTTAAAATCCACCGAATCATGCCAATGTCATTGTTTAAAATACCATTTAATTGTACTTGTGTGAAAGAAGAAGTGAAATATAAAAATATTTCATGTATATATTTATAACCATAAATACTTCTGATGTAGTTTCATAACTCTAGATATGATATTATATTTAAATTATTAGGTATCTATTGGCCCTTTCTTCCAAAAAATCATCAAGTAACCGTTTAGGAAATTAAATGAGTGAATAATTTTATGAATTTTCCCTTTGAGAAATACCAACATTGTCGGCTAACAATTTTTTTTTTTAAATCTTTTTATTGAGAAATAATACATTTTGCCACATTTAAGGGCACTGAGTACTAATGCTGAGTGAGGCCCATTCATACTATATATACAATACAATAAAAGTAAAAAAAATAAAAAATAAAAATATATATATCTATATAACAAAGGCAAAAACTATAAAACCAAAGAATTGACTTACAATTAGTGTGACAATTTTTAACGTATCCTTGGCAGGAAAACAAAAATCTCGTAATTTCATTTTAGTAAATTTTATAATGGAAAATAACAGTTTAATAACTAATAGTCCTACGATCCATAATCATTTATATGTTAAATATTCAGATGTACTTTCAAATCTCT